TCGCTCAGCCAGTGAGCGGGAACCGGTCTGTATGTGGGATCCGAACCCTCGTCGGGAGCACCACCGTGCTCCCAAGCGGCGCACTGTAGCAGTGCGCCACCGGGCCGGCCAGTACACACCATTTTTAAAACGACAATAATAAAATATGGATAAACAAGAGCATATTCACAGGCTGGGTGGGAACGAGGTGAGCTGGCGGCTGAGGAGATGCCCAGGGCCAGTGGGCAGAAGCTCAGGCTCTCAGCTGGAGGATCTGGCCTTCACCTCCACCCACCCCGCTCCTTTGACCTCAGCCTCCAAATCCACAGCAGCAGAAAGTAAGAGAACTCATGTGGTTTCGATAGGAGCTCCAACCCCCTTCTTTCTGTGCCTCGTCCTCTGAATGTTTGTTGGAGGCAATTAAACTTCAGAAGTCCTTAATCCAAGAGACAAGTCCACTGTGTACCTTTATCAGAGAATTATTCAAAAGCCTTATAGTAGCGCATAAATTCTGTTCCATCTGCAGGTTAGTAGGCAATCAATAAGTATTGATTGATTGAACAAATACTGATGTTTGGAATGTCCCAGCTAGGAAACCTAGCGTTTCACTTGGACCAACTGACTTTTAGCATTGCTTTTGCAGTCTCTAGCAGTGATTTTCTTTAGGCTCAGCACATAGCATGTGCATGTGTACGTGGCATATACATGTCTACATGGTGTAGGTGTCTACACACATGCTCTGCCTCGTGCCTTCTGTGGTCTTGCAGGGCTCTTATGCTGCTTAGCAATTGTAAACTTTTGTGTTTCAGAAGGAACATTTTGGTGAAGTTATCCCATTTTTTCTCAGTATGTTATAAAAAGCTGACATAATATAAAACAGTGTTTTCTAAATTGTGAGCCTACTCAAATTATTTCCTTCCGCTGAGCTAGGAGGGGGGAGAGAATATTTTTTCTAAAAAGATTCCACCAGCCTAGAGTTTAGAACATACATAATTCTAATGCATTTCCTTTAAAAAAAGAGAAAAATTTGCCTATGAGTTAAGAATCCATGAGTCATTTTATTCTGAGGTTGAAAGCCACTTTTATTGGTAGCAAGCAGTGCAAACAAGGACTTCTTTTCAGTGGAAATGGTAACTGCAGTCCTTACACTGTAATGCGTCTGGCTCAAGTCGTTTCAGCAGCCCTGTCCACATACGGTATTCTTACCCTGTGTGTGAACTTCTATTTAAGTAAGTAGTTATTGCTTTTACAAAGTTTGAAAAGTGCTGGAATAGGTAAGCAGAGAAGACTCTTTTCTCATGAAAGTCTTTAAGAAATTGATGGGTTCCTGCCATTTGCTGTGTTCCAGGAGCATGTGAGTTGTGTGACGGGACAGACAATTTACCTTCATGGGCTCCTGGTCTGATTATGGCACAAAGCAATGCGATTCCAAACTATTGTTGCTTTCCTCCAAGAGCAAAAGGCAACTCTGCTGACCCTAATGTCTTTCTAACTCTGAAAGAGTAGAACGCATTTTAGAGAAAATTATGAAAACTCATAGCACACCCTTTGTATGATTTCATGTCTTCATCTGTTAAGGAGAATGACCGTGGCTGTCCTTCCACAGGACAGACAAGGGATAGGTTTGCACCCTGCAAAGACTCCCCGCCCTCCTCTCGGCATAGCCCAGAGCAGCCTGAACTTCCAAGTGGAGAGACAACTGGTACCAGGCTCAAACCTCCCTACTGGGCCACACTGTTGGACCAGGCAGGGGATAACAGTGACTAAGCCACATTCAGATGGTCCTGGGTCACCCTCTCCAACCACAGTCTGATAAACCAGAACTTAGTCTGCAAAGTTCCCAGTTCCTCTTAACAGTATTCTTGACCTGGACGAGCTTTAGGATTGCACAAGAGTCAGGGATATGTTGACATATGGTTAGAACGGGCTTGATTTGAATTTACAGTCTTGCATTTTTCTTGTGATACTTTTACGGTGCTTAGATGTACTACAGACATATGAGTTTGAAACAGGGACAGAAGTTCCGAGCTCAGCATAGTCGTGAGGAAACATGTATTCAGCACCCAAATTTGCCTGTGACACTGAGCTGAGCCCTTTCAAAAGCAAGATCCAAGACATTAGAATGCTGTGGCTTTCACAACTAGAG